TTTAGTGAATCCTCGCTACAGTTTGTAGGTGCGTATGCAGCGATGACGAATAGACGCCTATTAGTTCCGCACGCTTTGAACGAGCCAGCAAATCGGGCCGCACACATCCGGCTACTGATTGGAATTCAAGCAACCAGGGGAGCTTCAGCCCGGGGACCCAGGGCATTGCCAACACCGGCTTGGCCGGTACTCAAAGCTGCATCGTCTCCGGATAGTCACAACGAGAAGCACTGCTGGTGTCACCTGAAAGGGATCGCAACGCGAGCACAGAGCTCGAGTCTTGCAGGTGGGTCTCCAATAAGCAGCAGATATTGATCGAGTGGGTCTCTAATGTCCAGGCATGTGCTGCCTATCGACCTATCTGCAACAATGTGCGTACCTTGAGGCATGCCACTCTGAGGGGGGATCGAGTGCTCCAAATAGAAGCCGATGAACTAGGCTTGACCACTTGTTTGGACATGGGGTTGTCAACAGGGCAGGAGTGACGCTCCGCGTTTCCATGTGATTTGAAGCTAGAAACTAACCGCCTATCGAAGCAAGGTGGAGGGTAACCAAGAATTGGGGGTTTGAAGACGGGGGATATGGGTCAACTTGGAACGGGACGACAAGAGTGAAAAAGCGCAAGAGGGGAAATAAGAAGACAGGAAGGCTTGAGCAGTAGCATCCAGACCCCTATCCACCCTGCTTGATGCAACAAATAGGGCGCCGATGATTATCCTCTACGACGACCAGAGCATCAAGAAATTGTTAGAAGATAGGTTCATTGTATTGCGTGGGCCGAATACTGTCAGGTTGCCCAGTCCTAGACAGGAGAACGATTAGGGTTCTCAGCCAAGGTCTTTGGTTCAAAAACCTGATCGCCAGGTAGCGGGTTTGGCAGTGGGCGACAAAGAGTGTTTTAAGGAATAAGGAGCTGTCCTCACTCTAACCCTCAACCTGGAGGACCAGGAGGCTGAGTTTGTCTGGCCTCTAACCACTAGCCAATCTTGTATAACTGGCTCTGAAGGTGCAGAAAGCACCACTCAACACAACTCACTTGATCTCTGAGGTACGCCAACCATCGCACCACGCTATGGTCCATGCTCATTGTTGTCAGCGTACATAAACTTCACGTAAGGGTGGGCGTCCTCGCGGTATATTTAGCCCGCGAGACTGGTATTGGTCGCGCGGTAGCGAAGCGCCGTTACGGTGTGCAGCTAAGACATTATCATTACTGTTTACATAAGCTTCGATCTGGTTTCATTGAGAGCTCACAAAACAAGCTTTGTGCACTCATGGGAGCATTTCCAGCAACACATGCTATCGCTGCGGATATCATACAACGCCGCTACATTGTGAAGTGTATTTTTACTGTAGCATACAGTTATGCAGCTGGTGCTTCATTCCAGATGGGTCGACTAATAAGCGTGACACATGGCACTATGGAGTTACGTTACGAAACACGAGAGAACATGGTGCAGGAACGAGTGGGATCATTGCGGAATTCGCCCAACACTTCAGCTGATGTTAAGTAACAAGCGGAACCCCTTGCTGTTTTGCTTTTTTGGACGGAATTTGCTTTCTGCACCCAGACAACCTCAAGGCACTTTTATACAAAGCATATGATGACCCCTCCAATCCTTTAATGTCGTATGTATCATGAGGCACCCAAAAATATAACTTTTCAGTTTGCCCATGGTTTTTTCCCTTTTTGCCTTAGATTTCGGCGAACAATCGCACGTCGATTACGAGTTCTTACCGCTTATTCTACATCGCACTTGACACTACCTGTGAGCGCCTCAGTTATGCCTCAGGTTACGCCGAATCGCACTTCCTATTACGTCCAGAACCATTCATTTAGAAGCGTTCAGCAGCTAAAGGCCACCTAAACACGGTGTTTTCATCCCTCTGCTTTGCATTTGATAAGCGGCTTATAACATTCCCCTCTTCACAACCATTGGAGGCAGTGGTTGCGAGATTTATCCTGACCTCGAGGGACACACAAGACTGACCCTGTTAGTCTACTATCCAGCTCCTAACCAAGTCGCTTGTGACCAACACTGTGCAACCCCATCCAAACATTCGCACTCGATCGTGTTCACAGGAAGTGCGCGAATCGTTCCGAATCCCCAGACTCCTTGTGTCCGATGATGGAGCGCTTCACGTGTTTGGCTTATACTCTACAACTCCCATTCAAATTTTGGTAGATACTCGTGATCTCGCTACAGCCCAGCCACCGTGCAGTTGCTGGTGGTTGTGTGGTGGCGAAGCGTCGGCACAAAGTTCCTGCGTACTTTTTACCTCTGGGATCGCATGTGAAGCTGCTTCCACAATCTTGATTTGTTAGCGCGCCTTAGGCCGGATTATTTCAGCCTTTGGATGCAGCCTTGTAAATACTCCTCCACTGACCATAGAGTATGATTACACGCTGCATCATACTGCACTGACGATGCCACATCTTATGTTGGTGAAATGTCTGCAACCAAACTGCCAAGCTCGGAGAACAGATGAACAACTGAATCATCAACCCGAGCTACCAGTACTCCGAAACATTTAAAACCATATAGCCTTGCTTATCGGTCTGTTTGGTTGAAAGCTATTCCTGGCTAACGTGTAAAGTGATGAATGATGATATTGGAATTAACAGGTGTCGGTTGGCCCGTAGCTAACTTTGGTGTTATGTCCATCTCTAGTTTACCACTTCGGTTTGGTGGTTGGCGTTTTCCTTGCTACTGACATCTGGCTCGACCACGTAAATATTGGGTTAGTAATAAAGTTACTACGGTTTTTGATCTTAAACTTTAAGTGCACATATCTTGGCTCAAAGGTAACCTTTTTATTCAAAATAAAAACCATTTGAATTGACGGGAACCAGGTTTATCTATTCCGAATGATTAAAACCGGAATTCTGGTAGCCATGAAATCGTCGAAAGCGGTTTCAGCATCCCAATTGTTTTTAAAACTTTCCTTTGGGAGGAAGTTATCCAGGTGCTTGCAAAAGTGGTAATCGGTAGGTGAGAGGTCAGAGGAATATCATGGGTGGAGCAAAGTTTCGCAGCCTAGCTCGTGCAGCTTCCGCGGGGTTATTTGTGCGACGTGCGGCCGAGCGTTAGCATGGCGAAGAATTTGCTTCATTCTGTTGACTAGTGCCGGGCATCTGTGTTGAAGCTCTCTGTGCATTTCGACAATTTGTTGACAATACTCCGCTGTAATCGTTTTCTTTGAATCCAGAGAGCTGTGATGGATCGGACCACCATAACCTTTGGGTGCAGTTTCGGTTTTGGGAAGCTTGATTGTGGTCCAATCATTAAGAAGTTCGTCTTGGATTGTAAAGTATTTGCTTTCATCGCGGTTCACAATCCGGTTGAGAAACGGATCGTTCTTATTGCGCAATTCGTGCGGCATTATTTTAGCAAGTTCCTTCGACATTCTAATGTCTTGTAAACGTCACATGCGATACTGCTAAGTCAGCAGCAAGATCTCGAGTATTTTTATGCGCATCCGTTCTAACTAAGACCTTTAATTGATCGTTGCTCACTACCGGGGTCCGTCCACAATGTTCTTCATCTTCAAGCCTTTTCGAACTTTTTGAAACCAGTGCGCAGCACGGTTACTATGGTCCCTGCCTCAAAAGCACTGTTGATGTCATGGGCTGCATTTCGACGGACTTTAGATTGGTACAAGAAAACTGCGGATTTGTCTTCTTTCCATGTTGCACTGTGTTCCGTAAAGAAGTAAAAACGTTTCTGAGCCAAACTATCACCATTGCTAGATAGAGCGCAAAACAGGCTTCAAAATGCTACACAAAGTCAAAGGAACCTGTTTAAATTATTCGATAACAGCTGTTGAAATAAAAATATAACAAACCGCAATAACTTTATTGCCAACGTAACACTAACAAACGCAATCAGGAAGTCAGTGGCGCTCTTCAATTCGGACATTTATGTTTTGGGTAGTTAGTCTTAGATGCTACTTAAGCTAATTTCTCAACGATCAGAATGTTTTACCGTTCGCTTCCAAATCTATTGCTATGCACGTCAAACTGTATGCACGTAGTGGGTACTACGAAATTCAAAAGCGTTGGCGCTATTTTCTCCTGCTAGGCTAGACACGATTCGCACACGAAGCCTCGACATTACTTTTACCTCTCTTCCTTTTCTCGCCATGTCTCTACATTTTCCATTGCCATTACTTGTCGTGGCAATTGGGTTCACTGCACTTCGGCACAACTTTTATGCTTGACTTGCTAAACCTAGGTGTTATAACCAACCGAACCCGCTGCCCGTTGAATGTACCGAGTCATTGTTATCTATATGTTATCCACTTACGTACACACTAGTTTGCAGAGGTGAGTTATACTGATGTTTCAACTGAACCGGATTTTCTGTAGCCCACTTCCGACCGTCTTCGTTATGCCTCTCTCTGGTCTTTAATTAGATGAATTGATACAAATTTTGGTTTTCTCTAACCCCTGACTGGTCTTTGTCATTTTCCTTCAAGCAGTTCCTGTTTTACCATAACGCTTTCGGTTGTTTACTACAGCCGTAGAAAACCCAGTTAATTGCGGTAGTTTATTGCAATGAAACCAGGAGTACTTGGTGCGATTTGCTTGCAACTTCATGTGTTTCGTAGTGCTACTGACATCGTGTCTCCGCTAAGTTGACTTTCTAGCAGCCCATCGCATTTGTGGTCCACGGATTCGCTCTGGACATGTGTTTCTATGCTGTGGTGGTTTAGACGTTTTGTTTTCACTTTATGCCCTGTCCTACCTAGTTTTAAGAGCTGTGACGCATCCCCTTCCGAGTACAACAGCTTCCGATTACGCTACTGCGACGCGTCAGTGCGCAGTATCAATGCGTTACTGTAACCACTATTTTATCTAATTAACCCACTGAGTTTCTAGGGCTGTTCATAAACTCGGTTATTTCTGACGGGTTTCCTCGCTCTTACATTTTCCTATCTACGTTCACCAAATCGATTTTCGATTTTCCTTAACATTTATCTTCACTTTATATTGACAGTATTTTAAAGCAGTACACATGGACTACCGAGGAATGGGAAGACAAAATCGCAAAGTGGCACAGTCAACACGGCGATATGTCAAAGCAAGACGCGATTATGGAGTACTTGAAGGTTGCTCAAGACTTGGAGATGTATGGTGCTGTATACTTCCCTATCAAGAACGTCAAGCAGACTCCTCTGTGGCTTGGCGTGGATTCTCTGGGAATAAATATTTACGAAGCTGAAGATCGGTAAGTCTCGACGACGTAAAAGTCGTTGGTATTCTCCTGCTTACTTTCGGTACGCATGGAGCGTGACAAACTGCTTGCTATTGATCACACTGTTTGTCCCGTAGGCTTAAAGAACTGCAAGCCTGTCTTGTAATTTGAGGGCGCAGGTGCAAGTCTACGCAGGGGACCGGATGACACTCGCAGTATTCTCAGCCTACACGCGACTGGTGGTGGTTGCGCGGCAGTGAAGCGTCGGTACTGCATACCGGCGTATTGCTGATACATTTTTAATCACTTTCAGATAGCTATTACTTTGTTGTGTCGTTGAGACGATTATGATCCACCACAGTATGACTTTACCATTTTGGCCACCGTTAAGATGATACAACTTTTGATCCACAGAAAATGCTCTTTCTTTTTGTTCATCTCAGCTGATTTTTTGGGCTGATTAGGTTTTTTTGTCATGGATATTTTCCAAGACCCGGTTTTTTCAACTTGTATTCCACTTTCGTTTGGCGACGTCGCCAACTGCCGTTGTCCATCTTAAGCCCTCGGCTTGGCCTTGTTCTTTTTGAAGTTCGCTGAAGTCACGCTACCTTTCTATCATTCATTGGTGCTCTTCCCATCTTGTTTCCGAAGCAAGAAGCTCTTGCTTCTTAATTTGCGCCTTGCCTCTATGATTGCTCCGTGGGTCGTCCCTGTTGGAGGATCATGGTTGGTACCATTCCGTCTGCACACACAACCCCGGTATTCAGTGTAACCCCGATAAATGTTGATAGAAGCTTCGTAAGTTTCGGTGCCTTTTCACACTCTAATGTTGGATCGATTCCAATACACCTCCGGCACCTCTGGAATGCCTGTTAAACTCAAATCACTCTCCAAACACCACATACCCCTTTGAACTGGTTGTCTCGGCATATTTGCCTAGGCATACCAGAAGTCGGACGATCACTTGGTCAGTGTCGCTGTAACACTTGTTCCTTCATTTCGAACCCTTTGTAAGCGACGGATTCTCTTGCGGCTCGAGCAACTCGTAATACTTCCAGATCAAACCAAAACATAGAAGTTACTTACATTACTATTAAAATAATTATCAAAATGTGTTGGGGACATGCCTCAACGATGCCCGTTACTTATAAAAACAACCGGGTTTTTACAAGGCACAAGATGCCAATCGCTGTACACTTGCCACTGCACAGCAACGTCACAAATCACAGTCCGCGAACTCTTATTGGATTTCACAACCCTACCCAATTGGTTTGCTGTACAGCTCATAGAGGGATACAGTGCGTTTGATTCTTCTTCGGGTAACTTCAAATGGGTGGGACTGAAGTGTCTGGGCAAATATAGTATGAACGGAACAACGAGGGGAGTGCACCCTTGGGGCGATAGTAATTCAGTGATGGCGTGTGTGTATAGGAGTAAGCAATCGTACCGGTGGAGGTTGGAATGAAGCCATAGGGGCACGGTATGGGGAAATACAGGAGTGATACACATAGTTGGTAGACAGGAGTTCAGCAAATGGCGCAGGTGTCAGGTATGGTTATTCAGAGGGAGATCCAGGTATCCAACTTACAAGGTAATTTTATCGGTTACAGCCTTAGCCACTCCATCTTCACGGTAGTAATGTGCAAGTCTGGATAATGAGTGGCGTCATATCACATCTAATAACTTAGTCACCTCTGTCTTTACCGTCCTCCTTAAGTCAGTGATCTTAACCACCAACTGATAACAGTAGCGTTGCGGGGTCGAGCCCCACAGGGGTCATATGAGATTCGCACTGCTGACTATTCTCGAAAGGTTAAAACGGCCGCACAGTACTTCTCTGCGTGAGCTTAGATGTAATGAATTTCTACTTACACCGTTCAAACCTCCTGCTACTTCATGTAATCTTATATCATTGACCTTAGTAATCTTGCTATTATCATCATTTTGGCGATGCGTGTCAGCGGGACCCGGTGCACTGATTTTAGTTAAACTTTGAGCTGAACCTGGGTACCTTTGTCGGGGTTCCCACTTGTTGGATTTTGGTAACGCCTTTTGCTTGCGGAGTTCCTGGTTTAATAACCCGTCATTCTCGGATGCCAAAAGGGATTGAATACGTGTATTCCCATAAATGTATATTTGGAGCTCCCAGATATTATACACGAGGTAGTCTAGAGTCAGCCGGCTATTCAAACGAAAAGTTGATCGATGCAGCTGGCAATATTATCAGCTGACCGGAAGGTTATGTAATAAAATGTGAAGGAAACACTACAATCTCGGTATGTGAGCATTGCCCGAGTACACATGTGAGTGATGAAATAGCAGATGTCAATGTCAGAAAGTCGTAATGCTCATAAGGCGCACACACATGATATGCGTGTTACCTGTCATATCTGCGCTTCGCAATCACGCCGTGGTAGTGTGTGAAGGTGTCGGGGTTCCCACTTGTTGGATTTTGGTAACGCCTTTTGGTTGCGGAGTTCCTGGTTTAATAACCCATCATTCTCGGATGCCAAAAGGGATTGACTACGTGTATTCCCATAAATGTATATTTGGAGCTCCCAGATGTTATACACGAGGTAGTCTAGAGTCAGCCGGCTATTCAAAAAGAGTTGATCGATGTATGAAGCGTTTGAAAGAATAGTCGATACAGCTGGCAATATTATCAGCTGACCGGCAGCTTATGTAATAAAATATGTAGGAAACACTACAAGATCACACTTGGCTGTTGGTAGGCCTCATCCTATTTCGACATAGGCCAGCTCACCCTCGTCGAACGGGTTGTGCAACACCACCACCAACACTGTCAGCATCTCCAAGCAGAACTTGATCATTGTGCACCCTAAACCCCCCAAGTCGCTTGTGAGGCTCTGCGGATCGCGCACTTGAAGCCGCACTGAGGATGTTGTCTAGTCTGGAAACGAGACGTCTGCAAACTAATCACTGAGCTCGGTGAGCAATCCAAAATCCGGACCAGCATCTCGTTGCTTGTAGTAATCGAGGCGGCGGTTTTGGTTATTTGTATACACATTATAAACCATATGAAGAGGCTAACTACGTTCGACCATCGCTGCCTTCGCAGCTTGCTCGTGTCTGGGGAACACCGCGTAACCAATGAATGTGTTCGGCGTCGCTTATTTGGTGCACGAAGAGCTAGTGAACCGCTCAGCACCATTATATCACGCACCAGGCTCCGATGGCTGGGCAACGTGTTGCGCATGCCAGCACACCGACTCCGGCGACGTGCATTGTTTGCGCGCCGTAGGTGTGTATGAACGAAGTGGAGGGGAGGCCAAGCGATGACTTGATCGGGATAAAGTCCCTCACTTCGAAGTTGGCGTCGGTTGGTGTTTCTCGACTGCTTGGCTGGGGACCGAAGGATGATGAACACGTTTGGTTGGACACACTTGATGCTATGGCTTGGAAGCGGCCTCAATGGCGTTTGTGTTGTGAGTTTTTTGTCCATCCCCTTCTCCTTTGGATTCCCTCTCCAATCAGGATCTCGTGTCTAATATGTTATTTGATATTTAATATTATATTACCCACCTTTTTGAACTTTTACTGGGTTCCTTTTGTATTGCGGTACATTATCTTAACTGTGTTTCTCACCCTCAGCTAACGTGTGTTGATGATGATGGTGGTGGTGGTGAACAGTGACGAGCATCTGGTTCTTAATCAGCCTGACCGTGCCACCATACACGTATACCTCGATGTCGCTTCCTGCGCCATCACAACCATACCCCCACTTTCACACCCCAGAGAAACATTGATAATTGAAAACTCAATGGCTTTCTTGGTAAGTGATCGAAAATTAATCAGTTTAAGTGTCATGTTAGCTGGGCACTCGACTGCAAAGGCGCGGCATGAGGGTCGCGCCTATGCATTGACTAGATCTTATTGATTTCAAAAGTTTGCACGCCTGCCTTCTATTCCGGTCACCGGTTCGAATTCATTTGGGTGTAGGTTACTTCGCAGTATATCCAGTCTATCGCGACCGGTAGTAATCGTGGGGCAGCGAAGCGTCGGCACAATCCACTGGCACCTTTACTTTTTTCTTATCAACGAACCCCACTAGAAACACATGCAATAAACATGAAAATACCCGATCTAATTCAACTTGTGTAGCCATCAACTTCATTTACTCACCAAAGATTCATAAAAACCGGAGGAAAATCGCGCTTATTAAAATGAGTACTTACCACTCCAAATTTGTGGTAGACCAAAGTCTCAAAGGATGTTTCTGTTTCCAAGGATATTCGGTGTTGTTCACAACGAGACCGGGCCTTAACGTTGTGCAATGGTTTACGTGCCTCAGCGATCCATTGAGTTATGCTGGGGAGGCTTTTTACACATTCAGGCCCACACAAGAGATCAGTCACTGGCCCTCCAGGTTGGGGGTTAGAATAAGCGTGGCTCGTTATTCAATAGATTGGGCTTTCTGTAACTCAATGCCGATATTCCGCTGTCTTGCGGTCAGGCTTTTTGAACCGATGGCTTTGGTTGACGACCCTAATCGTTCTGCTGTCTAGTCCTGGGCAACTTCATAATATCCTGTCTGTGCAGTATAATGACTTTCTCTTTCAACGATCCCTCGATGATCGGGCCTTCACAGTGGATAAACGGCGCCCTATCTACTGCATCGAATAAGGTAAGCGAGAGTAAAGACACTACTACACCAACCTGCCCGTCCTCTTATCCCCCTCTTGCACATTGTCATTCTCATCGTCCAGCTCCAATTTCACTTTTTCCCCTGTTTTCGTCCCCTTAATTCTTGGCCCCCCATCTTGCTTCCGTGGTCGCTCGTCTTCCAGTTGTGACTCACACGCAATCGTCGGGCGTCGCTCCAATCCACTCACCTAGTCTATGTACAACCAAGCAGACGTCAGTTCATCCGTTTCTCTTTGGAGCCCCCGATCCTCACTAACACTGCCATGCCTCCACGTGCACACTTTACTGCAGCTTGACCAACGGGCAACAGCTGCCCGAACACTGGGAGACGAACGATATCTGCCGCTTATCGGTAACTCGTCTGCAAG